AGAACTGCCCGGTAAACCGTAGGCAGAGAGGGAGAAGAGGACAACAAACGAGGGGTATATATCATCAAACAGAGCTGCCCGGTAAACCGTAGGCAGAGAGGGAGGGAGAAGAGAAGAGGAAAACAAACGAGGGGCTGTGACAAACTGTTTCGTCGGAGCGCAGCGGCAGGTCGCGGAAAAGAAAAACAGCCAGAGAAAACAAAGAGAACAGAAAATGAAAGTAGTTGCAAAAGGAAAAAACGCACAGGGACGGGGCATACTAACGCATTCAGATGCAAGGAGCTCTCACATAATTACTGCCAGATACATTAAAAAACGTCCGAGTGTGAGTGTGCCCGAAGTAGGAGTGTGGGTAAAAAGTCAAAGTGCGCGTTTGCCCCAAAAAGTCCCAGTGTGAGTATGGCCTAAGGAGCTCTCTGCTGGTAACCGCAGTCACACGCATGCAAGAAATGTCCCAATCTGAGGATGCCCTAAGGAGCTGTAGTCAGATACATTCCAAAAATGAGCCTCGGTGCACTAATGACCAAAATGGGAATGAATCTTCCGTGCCACATTTTCCTGTTTTGTGCATGTGTTTCGGCCGTACGATGTGCTTGTATTTGAACATGCGGGAATGTATCTACCGTTGAAACGCCTCGAAACAGCGACCCCCTGCCCTGCTATCCCACGTGGCAGTCCCTCGATAGCGACCGGCTAAACGACAAACAAAAAGTGCAACTCGGCCACGGGACTGCTAAACGACAAAAGAAAAGAAAACAAAACCAAAAAAAATCACGTGGCACACCTGCTTTCGATCCTGCAACCGGGAATAAAGTGAAGGGCCTCAGGACTCCGGACACGGTATGGGAGACAGCCTCGACTCCGTGACAGTGGGGCGGAAAAAACTTCCAACGCCCAAACAGAATTTGCGGGACACCACCTAGTGTCCCATCCAAACGACACATGGGCCTGATTTTCGTTGGTCCCAGAGGGACCATCTTCCAAGACCCGCTCCTTTATTTAATCGTTAGAATCTGTTAGATGGATAGTCGGTGAGATTCCGACGAAACCGTTTGTCACAGCCTCTCGTTTGTTGTCCACTTCTCCCTCTCTGCCTACGGTTTACCAGGCAGTTCTATTTGACGATATTTGACAATATATGTATCGTCAAAAAGAACTGCCCAGTAAACCCTTGTCACAGAGGTAGAAGAGGACAACAAACGAGGGGCTGTGACAAACTGTTTCATCGGAGTTTCACCTACCGACTCATCAGGAGGCTGAACCCTCAACAGTCTGCAGAATCCCATAACTGATTACACTGAAAGTGATAATCCACCTTAACCCCGACTGTGGTTAAGTATCAACGACTGCCCAACAACTGATACCCCTCTGAGGAGGTGGGCACCAACCACTGCCCTCAAGGTACCTGTGACGAAAATCAAAGCAGACTACCACTCACCCACACCAGATGGAAAACTCTACAGACTGTCGGTTCACACCCCATCACAAGCCAGCAAATATATATATGACGATATATAGTATATA